CAACTACAAATGAACTATCTATTTTATTCGTACCCAAACTCAAACACACCCATTGTTTAGTTAGCTGCAAACAGTAGACTGTTCAAAACAATGGTGAGTGCCAGCCAGGGAGAAGAGAGGTGTTCTCTATATGCTTTTAAAAGAGAAGAGGGATGTGCAAAAGGTTTAGTTTTTGGTGTAGAGAGAAAAAAGCCCCATACAGCATGTCTACTGAGGAGAAGCAACAGCTCTTATAGCACCTTGCAAACAAATATAGTAGAAGATTACCAGGAACCTATGATTAATACTCCCTGCCTTACAGAACCAGATTATGAGCCAACTGACTAGATTATGTGCCATCATTACATCATTGGGACCTCCTCTGAAATTCCATCTCATTGAAGCCTAGTGGGAATGTAAAATTGCCCTGGGTACTGGAGCATTTAAATATATTAAAGAGGAGGGTTCAAGAAGGAAATTGCAATGTCCAATCAGTTTTGACCATGATTTCCTTAGGCTCTCGTTTCATTCTTTCTTTAGTAGGGACTTAATAGATGCAGTTATTTTGGGATGACAGGAAGGGTGCAACAGATAATCTATCCTCGCTCTCAAATAGAAAAATATTATTTTTTTAAAGAGTGTTAACTTTCTTGAGCACAAGATGGCAGGCTTCAGCTTCACTCCTAGGGAAATAAGCATGAAGAATGTGATTTGAAACAGAGGAAGAAAATGCTTCTATTATTCAGAAAATTTGAAAAATCAGCAACGATCAAGTAGCTAGACAAACCAGTAAATAAACGGAACATCTGGAATAACAAGACCCAGATTGTGTAATTAAGCCTCTAGCCTGTGTTGGAAATCGGTGGAAGAATTTTGCTCACGACTATCTTCCCAGTGCCCAAAGGGCAGTGAACATTCTTCACTCACCCCTTTGGATAGTGCACTATACTCCTCTCATGTGCAAAGCCAAAGACAGAGCCAGGACTCCCCCTCCTACTTACCATATTTAGGAACCTTAATAAAAGTGGCCTGATATTTAGAGGTGCTCAGGACCTATAACTCTCATTGACTTTAATGGCAGGTGCAGTTGCTTAGACATGCCAGGTGTGAACTTTTTGACTATTGTTCTTTTAAGAAAAAGATTCTTTTTCAGTACTGTCAGGAAGCTCCCACAATTGTATATTTGATTTCTTCTGATATTTTCTACAATTTCTGTGTTATAATAAAAAGAGCATTTATTTGTGGGGGCACAAGTTAATGCCTTAGTGATCAATCTAAATCTCCGAGGCCTGTAATTTCAAGAGAACATTTTAGGACTTTCACTGTTTTCAGATTTTGCCTGCAATGTAACAAGATAGATGTGCTCTGGTGTCTTTATATGTAGCTGTTAAGAAGTGGTCCAAAAAGTCAGACTTTCACTTATCTGAAGTATAGATTTCCCACCTTGATGCTCAGGAGAGTCAAATTTGCCTCTGTGACATTACTAGGAAACTGTTGAGTCAGGGGGGATGTTATTGATGTGGATGGACCATCCCTTACAGGTGTTTGTCCAACCTGTTCATAAAAACCTCCAAAAATGGAAGCCTATTCCAGTTCTTAACTACCCTTATACACCTCTACCCCGATATAACATGACCCGATATAACACGAATTCAAATATAACGCGGTAAAGCAGCGCTCTCGGGGTGGGGTGGGGGTTGCGCTCTCCGGCGGATCAAAGCAATTTCGATATAACGCGGTTTAATATCGGGGTAGAAGTGTAGTTAGAAAATTTTTCCTAATATCTAACCTAAATCTGTCTCACTGCAGATTAATCGATTTGCTTCTTGTCCTACCTTCAGTCGACGGGGAGAACAACCGATCATACTCCTCTTTCTAACAGCCCTTAACATATTTGAAGACTGTTATCAATGTCTCTACCCCCCCCCATCTTCTATTTTTCAAGCCTAAACATTCCCAGTTGTTTTAACTTTTCCTCATAGGTCAGGTTTTCTAAACCTTTTATCATTTCTGTTGCTCTCCTCTTGACGCCCTCCAGTTTGTCCACATCTTTCCTAAAAATGTGGCATCTAGGATTGGACACAGTATTCCAGCTGTGGCCTCATCAGTGCTGAGTAGAATGGGCTAATTACCTCCCTGGTTTTATATAGAACATTCCTGTTAATACACCTCACAATATGAGCCTTTTTTTCAACTGCATCACATTGTTGACTCATATGCAATTTGTGATCCACCATAACCCCCAGATTCTTTCCAGCAGTATGACCACCTCACCAGTTATTCCCCATTTTGAAGTTCTGCATTTGATTTTTCCTTCCTATGTGAAGTACTTGTCTTTATTGAATTACATCTTGCTGATTTCAGACCAATTCTCCAATGTCAAAGTCATTTTGAATTCTAATCCTGTCCTTCAAAGTGCTTACAACCCGTCCCTGCTTGGTGTCATCTGCAAATTTTATAAGCATACTCTCCACTCCATTATTCAAATCAATAATTAAAATATTGACTAGTATTGTCCCAGAACAGATCTCTATGGGATCCCACTAGATATGCCCTCCCAGTTTGATAGTGAACCATTGATAACTACTTTTTAAGTATGGTTTCTCAACCAGTTATGTATCCGCCATATAGTAATTTAATCTAGACCACATTTCCCTAGTTTGCTTATGAGAATGTCACATGGCACTTTGTCAAAAGCCTTACTAAAATCAAGATATCTCACATCTACAGCTTCCCCCCATCTTCTAGGCCAGTAACTCTCTTAAAGAATGAAATTAGGTTGGATTGGCATGATATTGTTCTTGACAAATCCATGTTGGCTATTCCTTATTACCCTATTATGCTCTATGTGTTTACAAACTGATTGCTTAATAATTAGTTCAAGTATCTTTCCAGGTATTGAAGTTAGGCTAACTGGTTCCTGGGTCTTCTTTGTTCCCCCTTTTAAGGCTAGTTACCATGTTTGCCATGTCAAACTTCAGCACATGGCAAGAAGGGGGATGTACTCTTGATAGCAGATTTATATTTGGATAACAATTTTATAACCTTTACACACATTCAAAAGCAATTTAATTTAACCAGATAACACTGTTGGCAATATTTCCAATTATACCTGTTTATCTTACCTTCAGTCATCCCATTAAAGAGAGGTATAATATTACTAGTTAGTGTTAATAGTATGGCTGTGGCTATGCTAATAAAATGACAGGATTTTTGTATGAAAGTGCCAAGTCTTTGAGCATGCCCAGTGAGAATTAGATGTTTTCTGAAGCCTGAGCAAACTTACACAGAGTTGAGTGCTCATGCAATTAATAAAAGTGCTATGCCAAGTGCTTTCTAAACATTATGATCACCACTTGATACATACTTCTAGAACAATGCCACTGCAACCTATCTGCCTTTTTAATTCTTCTACAGTAAAGTCCTGAACTGGTTATATAAAAATCCTCAGTTGGTTAATATAAAATTAAGACAAGATAGGGCCTTCAACAGATTTTTTGCAAAATGGCATAAAATCCGTGTACCAAACTGCTTGGACACCAAGTTAGGAGAAATTCAATTAAAGGTGATGCAGTGAATTCACTGGCCTTTGTCAATGTATTTCAATGGAGCTTGGCTGAAGGAGACCAGTGTTGAAGAAGAGGAGGTAACAACGGGATTAGTCATATTGGACCAGATTTTCAGTTAGGTATGTGCTACTGCACTTAATTTACATGTGCAAATCACTGAGGTACGTATGCAAATCAGATATTTGTGTGTACAGGTGTTAAGTGCCTGTCTGCCTGCACAGAGACCTAATTTGTGTTAACACATCTTCTGTTTGTTCACATAAATTAGAACATCTAATCCCTATTTCCATTTCGGCATTAAAGTGAAACGATAATAAAGCAGTAACACAAATCTGAGTTCCCTTTAAGACCATCAGAAGCACGGTGTAGTGCAGAGCCCAGAGGAAGCAGAAAAGGATGTACACGAAAAGATTAGTAGTAAACTGCACGCAGACTCCTGGCGCATTTCTTTTGCTTGTGGTGTTCAGGTTGTAAACACGCGGTGGCGCCAGAGTTCGCTGAAGTCGGAGGCACTGCGGTGGATTTTCCTGTTCCTTTCAAATTACTGCGGAAAAAAAAAAATCCTACAGAGCCACTAATGAAAAGGCAAATTCCCAGACAAGGCATTTAAATGTCGCTCATTCATCACATACCTGAGCTCTTAAAACGATTACATTTTATTATACTATCATAAAAGATCACATTCTTTTCAAAAACAATCTTTCTCTTTGCATATGTTTGTGTATTATATGCATATATGCCCCTAGGTAGTGGAGATGTGCAAATCTACGCTACATTAGCCTAAGAGTTACCACCGAGGATGGAAGGGCTGGTGGAAAAGCTGTATATTTCTCCAGTGACTATAACGCAATGTTGCAAGCGCACGGAATGCACATGACACTGTGTGGGACTAACTGCATTCAAAAAGGAAAGAAGCCAATAAGCTGAGCTGTCCAAAACGGTTTCTTAACTAGTTATTATGCTCAGTGAGTCGGACACAGAAAGCCCGTTCGGAGCGATCTATGTAGAAAGCCATAATGTTGATATTAGAAAGTATCTAGCCAAGCCAATGCAACGTGGAGCCCTACGCTGTGGCGAAAAATGCTCCCTTTCCCATGCACCTCACGTCTTCGTGTGTCTTTCTGGGGGTGGGAAGGATGCATTGCTGGTGTTCGGAAAATCACGCTTTGATTTCATACACAGCAAAGACCTGAGGGTTCAAAAGAGGGACCGTGCTGGTGGTTGACCTCTCTCTGGTGTGTGTGTGTGTGTGATTGTATGTGTATAGACTCCAGCTTGCCTATTGGCATCTTGTTCTAGCACCCTCCTCTCTCTCCCCGCCTCTCCATCCCTCCCTCGCCCCTGGTTGCTTTTGTCTTCTTCTTTTTTTGGGGGGGGGGGGGAATTTCAGGCTCATTTTATGGAGTTTCTGCCCCTCTCTGCGTCAGCCCCACGTCACTTTACCAGCAGCTCCTGAGCTTGGGCTGGAGCAGGAGCCTGGGCTGCTTTATTATCAGCTGGAGGAAGGAGACGGTGCGTAAAGGGCAGAGCCAGGAGCCGTGAGCCCCCCGGCAGCAGCAGCGCGCCGATTCCTCTCCCCCAGGTAGCAGCGGCCGGAGCAGGCAGCGCCCCCGCAGGTAGGAGCATCAGCCACTCGCCCCCCTGCAGCCTCCAGCCCGCCCGGGTGACCCGCTGCCCCCCTCTCCGGGTCCCGCGCGCTCCCCGCTCCGCCCGGCGTTTTGCAGCATCATCGGGAGCCGAGGAGTTGCCGCTGCCCGGGCTGCGCTCGGCGCCGGAGCCGCGTCCCCACTGCAGGGGCAGCTGCCCAGGAGGGGACGGTCCCTGCCCCGGGTGCCCGTCAGGGGCCCGCGCTGAGCTCTCGGGGCAGGTTTCTCCCCCTGCCCCCGACGCTGCCGGGGCGGGCGGGGGCCGGGCTGGGCCAGTCCCGGCTCCGTTCTCACCGGTGTCTCTCTCCCCTCCAGCTCCGCCGCCTCCCGCGCTCGCCCCGAGCGGCTCCGGGGAGCCCGGGCAGGCAGCGGGGAGCGGAGGCGTCGCTCCTGCCCGGCCCAGCGCGCCCATGTGAGCCCAGCCGGGGCCGGCACCGAGCCCTCCCGCAGCAAGATGCCCGAGTCCCAGCCGCTCTGAAGCGCCCAGGAGGCTCCGCACACGCCGGGACGGTCGCTGGAGGAGGCCGTCGGGGCAGCGGGCAGCGCTGGATTGATCGGGGCAGCATGGTGTCCTGGCGGAGGAGGTGGCAGGGGCCCGGCCTGGCCCGGCTCTGGGGCTTCTGCTGCCTGGTGCTGGGCTCCTGGAGGGCTTTGCTCGCCTGCCCGGCGCCTTGCACATGCAGCGCCTCGCGGATCTGGTGCAGCGAGCCCGCGCCGGGCATCGTGTCCTTCCCGGTCCTGGAGGGGAGCGCCGAGCGGGAGAACATCGCCGACATGTGAGTAGCGCAGGGGCTGGGCACTGGCTGCTCCCGCGGGGAGAGCCCCGAGCTAGCGGAGGGGAACCTGCTGGGCACCGGGGATCTGGGCAGAAACGCGGAAGAAATCCTCCATCTGTCTCTCCAGCTCTAATTTTATTTAATTTTCGTTATATTATAATACTGTATTATGCTTGTGTATGTATATTCTCTCTTTCTGTGCATACACACAGATAATACATGTGTGTGTCAGAGAATTAATATAATTAATCATTTTATTTTTTGTATGTGTATATGTCAATTTGTCTCCCTAGAGAGAGGGAGCGAGAGAGAGTGTATGGGTAAAGAAACTGAGAATCTCCTTAGTATGTAGATATGAGAGAACCACTTACATTTTGTATTGCTTGCCTCTAAGGCTTGCAGAAATGATGCTCACATTTTCTTTGCAGCATCTCTTTTGCAAGTCTCAACAGTAACCAGTATTTTTAGTCATTTCGTTATGAGAAGGACACCAACAATAGGAAAGGAGGTTTTGCTTAAGGAAAGATTCTGAACGATCTGTAAGAGGAGAAGTTCTCTGCATTGAAAGGCACTTGCTCAGTAGGAAAATGTGATCGTGGGAAGCTTAAAAGCCTGGTATGATTTAATTTAGACTTGACTTCCCAGAGATATAATTTCGAAACCATTTAGATTATAAATCTTAATTGCCCTTGGTACAGTTTCCTGGGAATAAGTTAGATAATAAAGCAGTATAGCACACAGACAGTGCTGATTTTAGTACAAGGCCAATGTGTTATCAGAAAATTCTTCTCTGTCAGATTTTTCTTGAGAGAGGCAGTAATGTACATGTAGCTATCACTTTATCCTTCTTTTTTACAGATTGTTACAGATCAGTAAAGAATTACTACACTACACACATTCCACCTCTCTTCTAGACAATACATTAATTGGGGCCTCTATGTCCCAATTCTATGTTCTTCCTATTCATGCAAACAGAAAATTTTGATGGGTCACTCTTTCCCCAATCAAAAATGTGACCATTTTGTTTTCTTTGCTTTTTTAAATGGAAGTAGCGCATTCTGACAGAGTAGAATGAGGACTGGCTCCTCACTGGGTAGTATGTGTGTAAGCTCCTATTGCACATGCTCCTTTTCTGTAAGGTAGCGAGAAAAGATGCAATGTTGAGTCTGAATGTGAATGCAGAACCACACTAATTTCCCCCTAGTTGTAAGCAAGTATTGTACCATGATATTATTTATGGGGCTTTGACAAGTGGGTGCAAGAGGTTTTTCAACTTCAGCCATTGTGAGCCAGACTGCAGTTGAGACCTATGTAGTAGTGGGTTGTGTTCCTGCTTGGGGCCTGATCCTGCATTCTCTACTCTGGCAGGCTACCTTCTCATTGAAATGAATAGATGTTTTATCTGAGAAAGGACTGCATGATTAAGACTCAAGGATCCACATTTTGGATAATAGAATTGTAGAAGTTAGAGATGGAAAATACCTCTAAGGCTATCTTGTTCCCCTCATACCTACCCACTGATGTATTGTTCCCTACAATATTTTTAGTGTACAAGGTACCATGATCTTTTTGCCAAAAACTACATGGAAATCTCTTGCTGTATTTGCCAGTGTGTGCATGGCAGAGGGAAGGGCTGGAGACATTCACTCCTAGTAATGCAGGGCCTACATTTTGTAGATCTATTTATTTTTGAGTGCATGTAACAGAATTAAGTATTATTTCTAGGCTATGGCAGGAATGATCATTGCAGATGTTTGTTTAATATTCTGTAGGTTGCTTCTCCTGGAAAAAAAAAAATCCTTCCATGCCATGTACCATCACTCTACCATCTTCCTTATTATCAAATATCTTCAGTGTAGCAATAACTTAGCAGTTTTTCCTCAGAATTTGAACTCCTCCGTTTGAAAAGACAGAGAAAAGAACCCATGTGTAAATATATTTGGCAAGCTTGACCAACTTAAAACATATATTTTGCTGTTTAGATTTTGATTTCTATTAGTTGATTTTTTCCTTTCTGTATTTTTTCATCAGCATAATCATTTGTCTTTCCATATCTTTTACATTTCCACTATATCACCTTGTGATGTTACATTTTGTTGTGATTGGGGATATAAAAATAACTTCAAATCACTGATTTCCCAGCATACTAGTGCACATATTTAAGATAGAAAACATTTAGACTGTTTTTTAACATCAAATCATGGACAGGCCTTAAGATGCAAAAATAAATTAAAAAAAAACAGACTACCATAGCTTTCCTATCATTTCCGTGTGGAAACTCAGCAAGCATTAAACATGCTAGGAATGCATCTTAATATGATACATTCATATAGTCAAAAAAGAGAAAACATTTTGAAATGCTCCACAGCCTGCTGTGTTTTAGGTAACAGGATAAGATAATGGGCTATACTACTCCACTGTACTCAGTAAACTTCAGGTCTGGTTCTCCACTCATATATGGGAGCTTTACATTGGCATAACTCCATTGAATTACGGAAGTGTGACAGTAGAATTAGGCCCTTAGTTTCTGGTCATTCCCCTTTTTCTGAAAAACTTGATGCCAACTCTGCATTATTGCACACACCCAACTCTTATTTGGGTACAGATACTACAGTTCTTAGGCAAAACTCCCATTGACTTACAGGGAAATTTGACTGAGCAAGGACTTTGTGTCAGGGACATTTAGCCAGTGGGAATTTTGAGTGTGCAATAACTAAAGGGTTAGGTTTTATGTGAAATTACATTAGGTTAAACTCACCCACATGCAGAGAGCTGGCTGAGGGCCCTGTGTATGACTTAATTCCTGTGGTGGGACTGTACAAGGTGGAGAATGGGGCAAGCTGTGGGTGGAGCAACTGTGCATGGTGAACTCTTGGTTGGCTGCAAATAGGAAGGAGAGGGTTGTGGGGGGATAGCTGGGGTTGGGGCTAGAGGATCCACAAACACCCAGATACAGCAGCCTGAAATCCCAGCATAGAGTGCATAGATTTAGGGGGACTGGACTTTCTATTCCAGCCCATAGGCAAGTGACAGTTTAGAGGCAAATGCCATCTTCCCAGTCCCTACTTAATTCCTTACACAGTGCCTGATCCAAAGCCCACGGGAGTCAGTGGAAAGACCTCCGTTGACTTCAATTCACTTTTGATCAGGCCCACAAAGTCCAGGCTTTGTGAGGGGAGGGGTGAATTTCTTTCACCCTGTGTGTTCTGCATGATCATCTTCCATGTTGTTTCTTCCTCAGTGATTTGGGCACAAACACATATTTATATTTTAATGAATAAAATAGAAGTATTCTTCAGAATCTTTGCCTATAATTGAATTTGATTTTATCCTGTTACTTAGGGCACTGGCATGTGCTGGAAACATTCTGAAAAGCATGCAGCCACACTGAGATTATTGTACCATAACAGAGTGTAACCTACTTGTGACATGATCGTTTCATAATATTGGTGTTACTGATAAAATAAACTCCAAAATGAGACTCTGAATTAGAATCGTAAAATCAGCCATTGCAGAGCTGCTGCTCACACTAAGAGCTAAGGAGCAAAAGCAGGAGAGAGCAAAATCCATATATTACAGGCGCAATGGAACAGAAATATTTCATTGCAAAATCACTTGAGCTAAAATATCGATAGGATGGTAAATGAGCCTCTTAAGAGTTCTTAGATTTTTAAAGATCTAGTCTAATATTCTTCCTTTAGTAAAATATACAGTTAGGGTATCAGTGTATGTGGTTGTTCATAGCTCTTTCTATCAATATCTCCTTGCAATACAGCATGTTGCTGGCCTAGTTTAGCAGCTCTAAAGTCATGTCATTAACATGCTGATTTATGACTATTCAACTGTTTAAAATTAACTGGTGTATTTAAGAATGAAATACTTGCCAACAAAATACTAGGTGAGTTTTCAACTTTTCCCCTATAGAATACAGAGTGTATTGTGTGTACGTACATTTAAAAACCACAAAGTAAATTTCTGATGCAATTATATAAACCTCTCTAGGATTGTTAATAAAGAAGCACACTATGTAATTTACATAGTAAATAATTTAATACATCTTCTGAGTGTGTGTTGAAAAAAACCTACTTACATTAACATGAAGTACAGTTCATATTTTTAGTCTTTGTCATTTTGTATTTCTAGTCTCTTGCTGTAGATTACATATAATGTAAAATTGTCTTGAAGGATGCCCAACCCCATTCCCCTCCTTCCACCTTTGGCCCTATAGGATGCTATGGTTTAGCTGGAATTGAAGGTTCTCCTGATGATTTGGAGACAGGAAGTAACTGGAGGTATCAGGTTGCATATTATTAGAGAGAGTATGGACGATAATGACACTCCTTAACATCCCAGGAGTTAAGGATTTAGCCATGATTCCATTGTAAAACCTGTGTTTGTAGGAGTTTCAGTATCTGTTTTTAATAGTTACCATGAGCTGAAAATTAGCATTTTCAAAAATATGTTTGCCTTTTAAGATATAGGAATTACTAAATTATTACAAGTTTAGTTTTTCTTGTGCAGGTTCCTCTTTGTTTCCCATGTAACCCTTATGAGCCCATTGTTTTAATCCTTGCCCTTCCAGTTAGTGAGAACTGGATGGAATTCCTTTGGAAACTTGGTCAATGCTGGCCCTTAAGAATGGGTTCCTATGAAGTGCTGAATGCTTCCAGAGAAGTGCTGCTTTCTGGAGCTCAGCACCCTCCAGAAAGCATTCAGCACTATGTAGGATTGGGCCTACAAAACATTATCTCTAATACTGTAAATCCTTACTTGCCCAATAGTTTTATAAAGTCAGTGGGACTACGTAAACTACTCATGTAAGTAAGAAGCTGCAGGACTGAGTCCTGCTTATGTTATCTCCACCACAATCCCAGTTCCTTTGCTCCTGAGGAGAAGATTAAGGCCAGGATGGAATTTAAACTGAGTCTTTTTTTCAGTCCAGTGTAGAACAGCAGCCCATTGGGCCAGCCCTCAATATCCAAAGGTTGATATTTTTCAGA